GGAGACCACAGAGGGGGCAGCATCAATGACCAGGGATTTCGAGGTGACCGGTTGACCCAGTGTGGTGAAGAGGACACAGCAGCACAGTAAGCCCACCAATGGTACTGTGAAATGATGCTGCTACAAATCGGTTTGGTATGAAGGTAATGTTCGTAGGAAATTTGGCCACCAAATAAAAATTAAAATTTTAAATTGTAATGAAAATCTATTGCTCCAGACATATTAATTACATATTTATTTTCAATTTGACTTACATTGTTGTTCATGTTACTGTTGTTGGACAATTTGGTTGACTGGCTGGCTAGATGAATGGATGGTTGGATGACTGAGTGGTTGCCTGGCTGGCTGCTTCGTTGTTTATGATCTGAAAGAGCTCCACTCACTGAATGTTTAACGCCAATCCAAAACGAAAAAAAAAATAATTTAGTTTTTCTTATACTTTTTGTTGTTGTTGTTGGATTTTTGTTAATGTTTAATAGCGGGTTATGGTTTTGTTTTTGCGTTGCCATTGGAGTGGCAATTGCTAGGTTGGTTGGTTGATGTCTTGCCGGCTTGTTGATTTCGTTCACCGCTCTTAGCCAACTCAAGAGCACAGCGAACAGCTGCAGTGATCTATCTGCACTATGGGTTTGCTCGAAATTGAGTGATTTAGTTTTTCTTTTTTTGTTTTGTTTTGAAAAATCTGGCAAGAAGCTAAGCTCCACTGGCGGCTGGTATATGTGCACACAATTGCTCAGTTGCTTTATTTTTTTATTTATTTACGTAAACAATCAACAACATATTACAACAACAAAACATGCATGTGCCAGAATACAAAAACAGAAATTGTTGTTATGTTCACAAGCCAAAAGGTAACTTAAGAAACTTCATTCCATCAAGTTCCTCAGTCGATGGCACTCCTTCCTCCCTTCAACTTCCATTGCTGCCAAGCAATACAATCCCAGCCTCCCTCCCTACCTCCCTTCACCTTCCTCATTCAGCTGTTAGGTTGCCATTCAATAGACCCAACGAAACAATACTTGGCAATTGTTTCAGATTTTTTTCTTCGCGCTCATGTTCATGCTGATTTTTTGTTGTTGTTGTTAAAATTATTTTTTTTATAAAAAAAAAAACACATTAAAAAAGTGAAGGTTGTACTCGTCGAGCAAACTGAATGACAGACAGATAGACCAGCTAATATTTGCTCAACGTTGTAATTTTTTTTGTATTTAGAAATAAAAAAGGCACGGCTTATAAACTTTTAATTTTGTAAACACAACTTCGTACCTTTGCAAATATTATTGAAATTTGTATTTAGTTTCAAAACTGGAGATAATAGGCGACACAACGAAGGCCCTACACTATGCTACAGCTACTTTGTTTGGATTTTTTTAATAATAGGTGTGGATTTTTAAGAAATATTTTTTTTTCAAGTAGAAAAAATAGGCGTGGATTTTTTTAAGAAATATTTTTTCTAATAGTAAAAATAAAAATAAAAAAATATATATATTTTCGAAGAACAGTTGGAGAATTGTTATACCCTACCCAACTATGTTGCCAGGGTATTATAACTTTGTGCAGCCCCAAGAGTTTGTAACGTCGCGAAATATTGGTCCTAGGCCCACCTTTAAATATACCGATCATATATCGACTGGCTGAGTCTATCTAGATATGTGTGTCCGAAATTTTGCATGTAGAATGGATTCACGAAATTTTGCATGTAGAATGGATTCTGGCCAATGAAGACCCCTATTGGGTCTTCATCGGTTAATATTTAGGGGATGAAATGGACCAAATAATTAATTATACCCTTCACCACACTGTGGTAACAGGCAAAAGGAAACGAGGTAGACACATGGTTCCTTTTGAGAATATGCGTAGAATCACTTTCTGAGTCGATTTATGCATGTCCGTCTGTCCGTCTGTAAATATTAAATTGTAAAAAAAGTACAGGTCGCATTTATGATCCGATTTGGATTAAATTTGGCACAAGTCACGAATCAAGTCAAGGACGAATACCTATTGAAATTCAAGAAAATCGGTTCAGATTTAGATATAGCTCCCATATCGTCCGATTTAAGGTAAATGGGGCTCCAAAGTCCCTATATATCTTTCGAATTGCACGAAATTTGGCATAAAGTACAAAATTAAGTGCAGAATGATGTGTGCCAAGTTTCGAGAAAATCGGTTCAGATTTAGATATATCTCCCATATATAGTTTCGTCCGCTTGAAGGTAAATGGTGCACCAAAGTACCTATATATCTTTGGATTTGCACGAAATTTGACACAGCGTTCTGAATTAGGTCTAGAATGATGTGTGTTCAGTTTCCTGAAAATCGGTCCATATTTAGATATAGCTCCCATATATATTTTCGCCCGATTTATTGTAAATGGTGTACCAAAGTCCCTATATATCTTTCGATTTGCACGAAATTTGGCATAGCGTAATGAATTAAGTGTAGAATGATGTGTGTTAAGTTTCCTAAAAATCGGTTCAGATTTAGATATAGTTCCCGTATATATTTTCGTCCGATTTAAGGTAAATGGGGCACCAATGTTCCTATGTACCTTTCGGTTTGCACGAAATTTGCCACAGCGTAATGAATTAGGTCGAGAATGATGTGTGTTAAGTTTCGAGAAAAATCGTCGAAATTTTTTCGAAATATTTTTTAAATATTCACCTCGGGGAAAATGATTGGAAAATATGCCAGAGTATAGAACCGCAGAAATTATAGTTTGGTGGAAGTTGTGTAGGGTTTCATATTGTCGGCCCCGTCCGACTATATTTCTCCGCTCACTGGTTTTAAAATATTTTTTTCGAATACCAGTAGTTTCAAGGACCAGCCATAAAGGGTGAATTAAAAAAATCAAAGACCAGACTGTGAGGCGTGGATTTAAAAAAGGTATTTTTTCAATTAGCAGCAAGGCGTGGATTAAAAAAATATATCTTTTCAACAAGGCGTAGAGATTTAATTTTTTTAAGACCAAAGCATGCATTTTTAATACCCTACACAACTATGTTGTCAGGGTATTATAGCATTGTGCAGCACCAAGAGTTTGTAACGCCGCGAAATATTGGTCCTAGACCCACGTTTATGTATACCGAAAGTCATATCTTGACTAGCTGAGTCGATGTAGACATGTGTGTCCGTCCGTCCGTCTATTATAATTTGTAAACACGATACAGGCCACAGTTATAGACCAATCTTCACGAAATTTTGCATTTAGAATGGATTGTTTTGTCTGATATTCTGTCTGCTCTAGAGGCCGCAATTATGACCCAAACATCGCGAATTTTTATATGGATAAGGGAGCCGGGCAAAAGAAATAAGTATGTCTGTTTTGATAAAGATCGGTCAATATTTAGCGTGCCAAATGGACCCTGATTTTTGTGTGAAAAATTACAAAATTTGCATTCTATAGCGTATATATTTACCCCTGAAGGACATATGCCCTTTGAATTGATACCGATTATATTGTCGTATGTACTCAGATGTGGGAGTTACACGTAAATATTTACAGGTGCTTACGCGTTCAGATATTATTTAGTAACCCATTACCATACTAGATGTCAGACATATTGCACTGATCGCTTTGAAATCTTCCATGAAGTGGCAGTTTGGGTCAAGGACAACGCCTATAATTTTCGGAGAAGATCAGATAATAATTTTTGGATGAAATGTACCGAAAACTTAATTTTTTGTGTGTCGAGTCGATAGGCCACAATTATAAGCCGAACGTCACAACACTAGCCACGGTAAAGGGAATCTGGACAAGTAAATAGAATGGCTGTACAGAATATTGGTAATATTCGGAATATATGTCAATGTAAGGAATAGGTGCTGTTGACCTTTAATCGGACAAGAGGGTACAAATATCACGAAATATTGCCCACGCTCGGAATAAACATCGGCAGAGTTTGAGTTCCGTTTGAGCTCCGCTCACTGGTTTAAAGACTACATTAGAGACGAATGTTGGGTCCTCATCGTGGTACATCCATCGAAAATCGGATATAATCACAGTTACTATGCTATTAATTTGTTTACTAAAGTCACTTGTAATCGTAACATTTCACTCAAAGTGCAAAGTATTGCCAAAGCAATACCCTACGTGAAGTATAAAAAACACAAATTGTCTGAATCGTATCGAAGCAAAAAAAATACAACAAAAAATCTTTGAGATAAACACCATCCAGCCAAAGTGCTAATAATCGAACACATTACTCAGCCCAGATTGGACCGAAAACAAAGAAACAAAAGAGTGGCAAATAAACGAAATCAAATAACCAGTTGTGTGGATTGGAATGACTCCAAACCGCAAATTAAGCTCAACACTTCGTAGATGAAGTGTGCTCCGGCTGGGTGCTGTTGTTGTTGCAGCTGCTGTAATGAAGTGCTCCACTCTATGGAGGAGAATTTAGGCTGGAAGTGTTGTGGCTGGCTGGCTGGCTGTGCGTTTGACGATTTAAAGCTAATTTCAATACACTTTGAATATTGGTGCAATTGAAAAAAAAGAAACGTAACAAAGCTTTCGATATTGATGTTGTTTTTGTTGTTGTCACTATAACAACAAACAATTATTTTAAACTTTGGCAGCTGAAGCTGTTAAATATCGAAAACTCATTTTGAGTGATTAATAGATCTCCTCCAAAGGCAGCAACAACAACAACATGTACAGGAAAGGAATTTATGGGCTATGGTAGCTGTTGTTGTTGTTTTTGTTAAATAACAACACATATATGAGATTATCCACGATAAATGTGGCCTCTAAAACGTCACACAAAATGTCAAGTGCGAAAGAAAAAACATTAATTTCTAATTAGCCGGTAGGTTGTGTGTGCCAATTCATAATTCAATCCCCGTCAAATTCAAGGGAACTCTTCTTCTTTTTACATGACTCAATGCTTGTTTATCTTTATCGAGTTTTAAATATAAATATCAAACAATTATTGAGAAAGTTTATTATTTTTCTAATTATCCAACAGAAATAACAGATATTGAATTTTCGGTAACCGCTTAAAATGGAAGTAAGTTTTATAATTGAGAAATTAGAACTCTCCTAAGTAATTTTTACCTACTACTTCACAGTTTCTCTTCAATTTACTATTGGTGATTGCTTCGGCTTCAGCTGGTATAATACGCCACGACACAGCTCACGGATCGACTGCCTATTCCCATCAAACAATTAGCCATGGCTTGGGGGTTGATGATTCTAAATTGAGAATTGTAACTCCAATGCATCACGTCAGCCCATTAGAGAGTTCTTCAAAACCAACAGCTTCGAAAATTTTATTTCCTCCGGCCAAAGACGCTCATCTAATGGATAACTTCTCAGCATCCAATCAGCCTATATCCGCAGATCCTACAATTTCATATAAAGGTGAAACTCCCGTGGTAAATAGTCCAGTACACACTCCAGCCCATTTGGCATTTTCTGCCCGGCCGATAATGTTCCAAATGTTACCGAAAATTATACCAGCTCCATATATTAGCTATAAGGATTTTAAAGCTAATCCATCTTATCATAAGGTTGACAATTTTTAGGAAATAAAGTTATGCTCTTGACGATGTATCAGATATTTAATCTCAGTAAGGAAAGTAGTAAAGTCGGGCGGGGCCGACTATATGATACCCTTCACCACTTTGGGTATATTCAACAGATGAATGCTAACAGACGTCGAATTCTCCAACCTATACTAAATTTTTCATTTGTTCAGATATAGGGTTGCTTCTTACAATGAAACAAAATTACCTAAAATCGGGCGAAAAAATATAAAGAAGTTCTATCCAAATCTGAACCGATTTCAAAACTTTCCACATTTCCAAACTTTAGTTCGTTGTGCAAAATTTGTGTCAATTTTGTGTAAAATCGGATGAAAATATATATATAGAAGCTATATCAAAATCTGAACCGATTTCAATGAGAATGGCAGAGGTTAACTTACTACAGTTTATTGTACAAAATTGTGTGGCGATCGGACAAACTTTGGTTCTTTAGTGCACAATATACATAAAAACGAAAGAAAAATATATAGGAGCTATAGTAAATCTGAACCGATTTTCAGGAAACTTTACACACAACACTCCAGACTTATTTCAGTACACTCTACCAAATTTCGTGGAAATCGAAAGATGTGTAGGGACTTTGGTACACCATTTACCTTAAATTGGGCCAAATTATATATGGAAGCTATATCCAAATCTTAACCGATTTTCAGGAAACTTAACACACATCATTCTACATCTAAATCATTACGCTGTGCGTAATTTCGTGCAAATCGAAAAATATATATGGACTTTGGTACACCATTCACCTTAAATCGGTCGAAAATATATATGGGAGCTATATCTAAATCTGAACCGATTTTCAGCAAACTTAACACACATCATTCTAGACCTAATCCATTACGCTATGCCAAATTTCGGGCAAATCAAAAGATATATAGGGATTTTGGTACACCATTTACCTTCAATCGGACGAAAATATATATGGGAGCTATATCTAAATCTGAACCGATTTTCAGAAAACTTAACACACATCATTGTAGACCTAATTCATTACGCTATCCAAATTTCGTGCAAATCGAAAGATATATAGGGACTTTGGTGCACAATTTACCTTATATCTAAATCTGAACCGATTATTCCCAATTTCAATAGGGTTCGTCCTTGGGCCAATTAAGTGACCTGTGCCAAATTTCATCCAAATTGGATTATAAATGCGACCTGCACTTTGTTAACAAAAATATATATATATATATAAATGACAGACGGATCTAAATCTGACATGCATAAATTGACTCAGAAAGTGATTCTATGCATATTCTCAAAAGGAACCATGGGTCTATCTCGTTTATTTTTGCCTGTTACAAACATATGCACAAAGACATAATACCCTGTACCAGAGTGTGGTGAAGGGTTTAAAAATATTATATGTCAGTCGTGAAGATCAGCAGAGCACCTGTAAATATTTATGTGTAACTCCCACATCCCAGAACATACAACCATTTAATTGGTATCAGTTATATCAGTAATTTTTCACACAAAAGTCAGGGTCGATTTGACCCGCTAAATATTGATCGATCTTTATCAAAACAGACATGCTTATTCTCCCCTTCTCCATCTAAAATTTCACGATGTTCGGGCCATAATTGCGGCCTCTGGAGCGACCAGAAAAACCGACAAAAATTTAGTATTTGGTCCATTTCATCCCCTAAATATTAACGAATCTTTACCAAAAACAATAAGGATATTCATTGGCCAGAACCCGTCCTACATGCAAAATTTCGTGAAGATTGGCCCATAACTGTGGCCTGTATCGTATTTGCAAATTATAATGGACAGACGAAGGACTGACACACATATGTCTAGATCGACCCAGCTAGGCAAGATATGACGATCGGTATACTTAAAGGTGGGTCAAAGGCACAAAGGTATTATACCCTGACAACATAGCTGTGTGGGATATAACAAGCCTTATTGGAAGTATTAAAAAAATAGTTTTTAAAATAATTTTAAAAATTTAGAAGGTAAAACTAATTTTTTTTTCATAGAAAACTCACCCGACTACTTCTCATAAGAGTTTTTTTTACTACCAGAAGACTCATATGGAAAATAGAGGACCCATATTTATTTTCTCTATAAAAATCAATAATGGTCATCATTCACAGGAATCTTTACTGGACCTCTACGAACCCTTCAAATTATAAAATAATTTTTAGTTTTATTCCGATTTATTTTCTCATAGCATAAATTACGGGCAAACAAAAAAACAACAACAGATTTTCGGATCATTCGACTTCTGAATCCCTTGCTTAGTGGGCATATACTGGCTTGACAAAGGGAACGGCATGATGAACAACAGGTGATACGACCGAGGTGTGGTGATGGACCTGAACATTGGAGTGATGGGTAACAGCCTTGGCAACAATTGGTGTGGTAATGGTTTTGACAACGGGAGCAGCATGAACAACAGGAGCGGAATATGTGTGGACAACTGGTGAGGCAATAGTTTTGGCAACTGGAGCAGCATGAACAACGGGAACAACTGGTGCGGGAACAACGGTTTTAACAACAGGCGATACAACCGAGGTGTGGTGGTGAATTTGGCTGTTGGAGTGGTGAGTTATAGCTTTGGCAACCACGGGAGTGGAAATAGTTTTAACGACTGGAGCAGAGTAGGTGTGGACAACGGGAGTGGCGACGGTCTTAACCACGGGGGTTGAGTAGTTGAGGACGACTGGAGTGGCAACAGTTTTGACCACGGGGACAACAGGTTCAACTACAGTCTTTACTACTGGGGCCACGGTTTTTACAATTGGAGCAGGGGCAGCATAGGTGTGGACAACTGGAGCGGCAACAGTTTTGACAATAGGAGCTGGAGCGGCATAGGTGTGGACAACTGGAGCGGCAACAGTTTTGACAATAGGAGCTGGAGCTGCATAGGTGTGAACAACAGGAGCGGCAACGGTCTTCACAACTGGGCTAACAACATGACTTGTGCTATGGACTTGACTATAGCTTTGATGTGACACAGATGTTGGAACAACATGTGCGACTTTGCTCAACACAGGCTGGACAACATGGGTTTCCGAGACGAAGCCTGGAGTGGCCACGGCTACGGCCAACAAAGCTAAGAAGGACACCTAGGGGGCGAAAAAGGGGTTTTTAATATCATCTTCTTTACTTTAATTTTTTGCTTTGCAATTTCTTTTCCATTACTTACAAATTTGAACATGTTGCAGCTGAGGGTTGAGTTGGTTCGGTTGTTATCACTGGAAAATGCCTGAAGTGAATGATAATTACCTTCGAATCGTTGCCTATTTTATATTATCCAAATTGGCAGTTTCTTTTTTGGTGTGACAATTTATTGTTAGCCTATTACAAAAATTTTTTATTTGTCGATTTTTCTTTTATTCCGATATGACCTCTACTTCGCATTTGTTGTTGAGCACAATGGCATGTGATTTTCAAGTGCTGTGACAATGTTTCTTCGCTTATTTTTTGCAATATGTCATTTGATCTAGTTTGGTGATTAATTAGAGCTCATTAGGCTTTGGTATTGAATGTGAACTACTTGAGTTTGAAAAGGTGAGGAAGGAGTATTTTTTGTTGTTGTTTGCAAAGGTAATAATAGGTGATTATACCCTACACAAGTATGTCGTTAGGGTATTATAGCTTTGTGTAACCCCAAGAGTTCGTAACACTGTGTAATATTGGTCCTAGACCCACCTTTAATTATACCGATCGTCATATCTCTACTAGCTCAGTCGATCTATATTTGTGTGTCCGTCCGTATGTCTGTCCATTATAGTTTGTAAACACGATGCAGACCGCAGTTATGGAGCAATGTGGGATGGCTTCTGCCCAATGAAGACCTCTATTGTTTTTGGTAATGAACCGCTAATATTTAGGGGATGAAATGGTCTCGAATTTACTTTCAAGACTTTTCAATGCAAAATATAAATATTGCGAGCTTTATCACGAATTCAATATATAGATGGACGGACATGGCTAAATCGACATAGAATTTTATTCTGATTAAGAATATATGTACTTTATGTGACCTCAGGTGAAAAAGAAAACCAAACCCCCAATGTTGACGGCCCCCGCAAACGTATAAAGCATCACGATATGCGAATCTGCACTTGGAATGTGCGCACGTTGTACAGAACAAGTGCAGTTTTCGCTTTGGCGATGTACTCAAGAAGTATATTATTGTCTTACAGGAAATGCGATGGAAAGGGACATGCGTAAGAAAATCAAATGATTACACTCTGTATTATAGCTGCTATGAAACGAGACATGAATTTGGCTTCGGATTTATGGTTAACAAGAGAATAAAAGACCTCAAATCCATATACACTCCAGCAGATGAGCGAATTGCTATAATGCGTATAAAAGCGATGTTTTTCTACATCAGTCTTATTTGTGCCTAAGCTGTGACGGAAGACAAAGATGACCAAAGATATTTTTACGAGCGCCTAGAAACTGCATATGACCGCTGCCCTGGCCATAATATTAAAATTCTGCTAGGAGATTTTAATGAAAAAATCGGAAGGGAAAATATTTTCGGTCATACCGTCGGAAAATTCTGCCTTCAAGAAGAAACATCCGACAACGGCATCAGGTTGATTGACTTCGCAGTAGCAAAAACATGGCAGTTAGCAGCACCAGATTCAAGCAACTCGATATACGCATGGTCACCTGGATTTCTCCTGATCAAGGAACAAGAAATCAAATTGATCATGTTGTGATAGACGTAAGACATTCATCCAGTGTTTTAGACGTTCGATCGACACGAGGAGCGAACATCGATTCGGACCACTACCTCGTGGCAGAAAACGTCAAAAATCGTGGAAACTCGACGTCGAAAAGCTGCAAACACAACAGGTAACAGGTAACTCCGCTCAACTTACCTACCTGCAAAGAATTGCCTACAAAGTGCTGCAAAAGCAACACTTGGGTACTTAAGACCACCATCAGGAAACCCGTGGTACGATCAGGAGTGTCGTAATGCTACTGAGGCGCAGCGTATAGAGAATCCCTGCAGACAGTAACAACACGTAATGCGATGGAGAATTATCGGGGGAAAAGGAGAAGAAAAAGCGTATTTTCAGAGAAAAAGAAGAAAAAACATGAAAAGCGTGAGCAAATCGAGATGTACAGGAGTGAGAATGAAGTCCCGAAATTTTAACAACGAATAAAACACCAAACCGAAGGTTTTTGTGCAGGCACATCCTCCTGTAGAGATGAAGATGGAAACCTGCTAAATGATACAGATAGCGTGCTGAGGATTTGGAAGGAGTATTTTGAAAAACTTGTGGTATCGAATAGTGACGGTGAAGAAGATACCCCGGAACCAATAATTGATGAGGTCGGAGTAGCAATTAATTGGCTGAAGAACAATAAAGCAGTAGGTGTCAATGGATTACCAGCCGAACTATTCAAGACCGGTAGTCAGGAGCATCCACCAGCTTATTAGTACAATTAACAATGATTAGAACCTAATCATCCTGTGTTCGTGCACAAAAAAGGAGACAAGGTAAGATATGTGCCAACTGTAGAGGAATACGTCACCTTTCCATTGCATATAAAATGCTATCCAGCGCGCTGTATGAACGACTGAAGCCAATGGTCAATGACATTATTGGACCATACCAATGCGGCTTCAGACCTGGTAAATCCACCATTCACCAGATTTTCAGTCTTCGCCAGATTCTGGAAAAGACCCACGAAAAACACACCGACACATCCCGCCTATTCGTTGACTAAAAAGCCGCATTCGACAGTCCTATACGTTCAGTGGTAATTAAATCCATGTCTGCGTTCGGCATTCCTGCAAACTTAATACGGCTATGCATGATAACTTTAACTTGCACATGATCAGCAGTAAAAGTCGGAAAGGACCTCTCAGAGCCCTTTAATACCGAACGAGGATTCAGACAAGGTGTCAGTTTGTCGTGTGACATTTTTAACATCCTGCTGGAAAAGGTCATACGAGAGGCAAAAGTGAACAGAAATAGTACTCTGTACACCAAACAACACATGTTACTCGCCTACGCCGATGACATCGACATAATGGGCCGAAGACTGAGAGCGGTAACAGCCACCTTTGAACATATTGAGATGGAGTCTGCCAAAGTGGGTCTGGCAGTGAACGGCGTGAAGACCAAGCTGATGGTATCAACGCGCAAGACGTCCAGTAGACTCGGACCAACTGTGGAATTTGAGAACTGCAGCTTCGAGGTAGTCAACGATTTTATATACCTTGGTACCGCCATAAACAAAACGAATGACATCAGTTTTGAAATTCGGAGAAGGATAGTGATGACCAACAGATGCTACTATGGTCTGAGCAAACAACTCAAAACCAAGGCCACCTCCCGCCACTACACGTGCTGTTATATGGATCTGAAGCATGGGTACTTACGTAAGCAGATGAGGCAGCTCTTGGAGTGTTTGAGAGAAAAATTCTCCGAAAGATCTATGGGACGATCTGCGTTGACGGTGAATATCGCCCTCGAATGAACCATGAGTTGTACCAGCTATTTCGGACATCGACATTGTTAGACGTATTGAGCTGCAGCGACTACGTTGGCTAGGTCATGTTGTGAGAATGGATGAAGATGCCCCAGCCCTGAAGGCATATTTAAGTGAACCAGCTGATGGTTCACGCAGAAGGGGGAGGCCAAGAATACGATGGAAAGATCAGAGATCAAGTCGAAGACAACATTGCCGAAAATGGTCTTTCAAATTGGAAAAACTGCGCAAAAGACCGACGCACCTGGAAATCTTTTCTAAGCTCGCCTTGTGGAACGAAAGTTCTGTCACAAGACAGCTAAGTAAGTAAGAATTCCCAAATGAGAACCAATTCGATTGAAAAACGTGCCCAAAACCTCCAAAATACCGAATAATGGGTTGTAGCGTCATATGGAGGCTACCCCAAATAAAAAATTTGGTGAGGATTGATCCTTAACTTTGGTCTGCAGTTTTTTTTACAAATTTTAGTTGACAGATAGAAGGTCGATCGATATAGAAAATATGGGTCTAGAACCAATATTTGGTGATGGTTCATTCTCATGGGTCCGATTGACTTTATAAAACATTCACAAAATAGTATTTTTTTTATCAATTCACAAAACAAAATGTATTTAGGTTTTTTTTTTAATTTATTTAAATATGAAATAACAAGAAAATATTCCGCAAACGAAACTTGGATCATTCTTAAACTCCCTTCTCGCTGAATTAATGAACAAACACCGATTTAACAACAGGAGCAGCAGCATGGACAACTGGAACAACGGGAGAGGATACAACAGTTTTAACGACAGGAGCTGTGTGGACAACTGGAGTAGCCACAGTTTTAATGATGGGTGCAGAGTAGGTGTGAACAACTGGAGTGGCGACAGTCTTTACCACGGGGACAACAGGAGCCGATACAGTCTTGACAACGGGAACAACAGGTGCTACAACAGTTGATTTCACAACAGGTACGACGGGGGCAACGGTTTTGATAACAGGAGCAGCAGCATAGGTGTGGACCAAAGGAGTGGCAACTGTCTTCACTACGGGAGTTACAACATGGGTCTTACTGTGAATTTGACTGAAACTTTGGTGGGACACAGCAGTGGGAATGCCATGGGCCACTTTGGTAAGCACCGGCTGGACCACATGGGTTTCGGTTACCAAACCAGGAGCAGCCATGGCGACGGCCAAAATGGTGAAGAAGGATACCTGGGAGGAAATAAATTGATATTTTAAATGAAAAAATAATTTTCTTTTATGGCAAACAATTTTAGTTGGGGAATATCAATCGCGTTTTTTTCGAAATAACTTACAAATCGGAACATTTTTTTGGTTGACTTGAAAAGTTAGCTGTAATCGTTGACAAAAGCTTGAAGTGAATGATATTTTTTGGTGACACTTCTTTGATTTTATATACCTAAGTCATAGAAGTCCTTGTCTTGGGTTTGATTTTTTTTATTTTTATTATTATTTACTATTATTCGTTTCCGAACTGACCTTAGCCAAAAATAAAAACTATTGATCGAACATCCACCACACCAATTTTTTTGCCATTATGAAAATATTATTTTTTGGATTTTTTTGTTCGCCAATTTTGTTGTGATTTATTTTTTTTGTATGTACGAGTATGACCATCATGTCTGCTTTGCAATTTGCCAAATCAATCTAACATTGAACTTGAACTGAAGTAAACCTGGACCAAGCCTTTTGTTGAGCACCGAACAACCATCAAGTGGAGATCAATTACCACTTCATTTTGGACAATTGTTTTCAAACTACAATTTAGCTTGAATGGTTTTGGCTAATTAAGAG